ACTATTACTTTAATAAATGTTTAAAATCATAAAATAAATGTACAAACACAGTATTTAATAGAGTTTTATTTTAATTAACAGAAAATTACTTTTGTGGGGGTCGATGGAGATTTCGAAAAATTATATAGGGGTCGATGATCAAAAAAGTTTGGCGACCTCTGCCCTACACTGATGTTTCTTCTAATCTATCGTCAGTAAGAATTGAAATATCGAATAAATGTAATTATATCCACGAATAAATTAATATCAAATAGGATGTAATAAATATTTTAGACATTCAGCAGAGCGACTATGTGGTTGTCAACATTCACCGGTGAAAGTCAACAACCACCGATTTCGGTCATTCACAGTAACATGCGCATCATTTACATAATGATCTCATCAGAACGTTTATTTCATACTTTGCCGGTTTCTCATTTGGCATTCTATAGAATGCCTAGGCAATGTGTGAAATTTAAATCATTTCATACTTTTGCCGGCTAGTTTTAGGCATTCTATACAATGCCTAGGCATTCTATACAATGCCGGATTTCATACTTTGCCGGTAACATATATAAAAGCAAAAAGAGGCTGCCAGAACAGGAAACTCAAAAACTACTCAAATAATCTCGAACTCAACAACCACATTAAACATTGGCACATACGTTATTAGGTTTTCTTTAATTTCCAATGAATTCCTTAGTCCTGTATCTACATACAGATTATTTAATGTTAATAACACTAGGTTAGCTTTATTTTCGGCTGAATTATTTTTCAATAACTCGCCATTTTTTTGGATCTCTTTCGATGCTCCTAAGCGTCGGTTAACAATTACGCAATCACTTGCAATTTTAATTTATTGTTGAGAATTAAAATGTTAAAATGCATTTTAATTAACTAACTGAAAAAGCAATTGTTTTTAAATTTTTGGAGGCAATTTAAAATTTATAAGAATTTTAGTAGCGAAAAATATTTAGACAAATTTTACTCAAATTTCTTTCAAAAATATGTTGCATACATAAAAAAAAATACATTTTCATTAAATATTGTTGAATATAGACACATAAAATGCACTAGTTCAAAAGAATTTTAATTTTGAATTAATTAAAATCGTTACATATAAATTTTTTAAGCAAATTTGTAAACAGAAGTGTCAAAAATTAAAATTATTGTTTTTTTTAAAAAAAATTATGGAAAGAACATTTTTAATTGCATGCAAATAATGTTGCATGCAATTAACGATTGCTTTAACAATATAATGGAAGAATGACAATGGACAAAATAATGGAAACACTTCGAAATTAAATTATTTTTTTATATTTCTCAAAAAAATGTTGAAAGAATCAGTTTATAAATTTAGAAATGTTTAGATCGCGCAATTTCTCATGCATATCAATGAAGTGTTTAAAACTTTTTTAAATTTGAGGTACCGACAATAAATTACAAACGGAAAATAATGTTTTTGAACACCCTATGCCACAAAATCTAGTAATAAATTTGTAACTGATAACTACGATTTTGGATACTTTATGGAATAAAATTGCACAAATTTTCGTAATCGTAGCTTAAATATTTATGGAGATATGGACGTTCTTTTTATTTTTCTTTTTCATTAAAAACTAATTTTTTTACCTTACGTTTCTTGCTATAAATTTGAAAATATTTAAATAAAATTGAACAAAACTCTTGAATCAATTTGAAATTTATTACAAAATTATTCCTTTAAACATATGAGAAAAATCTGATAAAAACTGCACCAGATATGAGTAATTTAAGTAAATCTTTTATACTGCGCATGAGCGAAAGAAATTTCGATTTTTTTTCCTTCTTAATTTTATAGTGAATCGTATTTAGCACCTAATAAAAAAAAAAGTCCGATTTGAATATCTAAGAAAATTTATAAAATTTCAAGCAGTTTTCTTAGTAGTTTTTTTCTCTTTAACAGAGAGCTTAAAATGGTAAGGTGTTTTCCATAAATTCCATTTTATACTATGAAATAATATTTATTGTAAATGACACCGTCATTGTTGGAGATCATTTCCCCATAAAAGTCTCTTTTCTTTCACATACCATTCTAATACCATCAAACTTTGTCGACCGGATTATCACTTGTTAATAAATCAAAATGAAATTAGTGAAAAAACCCTTATTGAGCTTTATTTTTTAAAAAGTAAAAAACTGCTTAGAAAATTGCTTGCAACTTTTTAAATTTTTAAAATATTCAAATCGTACTTTTTTATTAGTTGCCAAATACGGTTCACTACAAAATTTAGAAGAAACACACGCACAGTTTTTAATACATATTTCAATTACCACCATTCAATTACTTACCATTTTTTGAAGTAGCAAGGCATCTATAATGTAATGTGATTTTTTGTTGTTGTTGATGTAGTAAGAGCAACAAAAAAAAAATGTAAAAATGTTTTCTTCTTTTTTAACACAATGGCCACGTCATGGGTTACAATCGCTTCGCAAATTGAGCCTTCCAATATCAAAAATAAGTTGGGTTTTTTTCATTTCCATCAAAACTTCTAAACAAAGTAACAAGGTATGAAATAACAAAAATAAGCATGAAATGAATTTTTTCTTCTAATATTATTAATGAAAAACATTTTTAGTTTTGCATGATTCACGGAAAAGGTTTTAGACGATCAGAATCGCAACTGCTTCATGTAGTATATAACTTTTTTTTATCATTTTTGACCAATTACTACAATTATTTATAGTGATACGTGGTTTTCAGAAATTTATGTATTAGAGCTCTAAGTTTCTTTTCTAAGTTACAAAGTTAACATGAAGTTTTCACTAGAATGTGACTCATGCGTCAATCTTTAACAATGAGAGATAATTGAAACATTGCTTAATAAGTTAAAATTGTAT